CTTTCACTTGAGTGATTGACTGGGTCTTCCTCTCCCCACCCATCCTGAAGTCCCCCTTGGAACAGCCAATGAGAGGGGGGGCAGCTTTGGAAGAGTAGGACACTACTCTGGGAATGTGAATGGGGCGGGGAGAGGGTGAAGTGGGGGCAGGTGGGGGAATGAGAGTGGAAATTGTATATAAGTGGCTGCTGCAGCCTTAAAGGGTTGCTCAATGGGAAGAAGGTGTTAGGTTGGGGGTGGCTGATGAGTGGGAGAGTTTTGTATATTTTTTTATAAGTTTATACTTGTTTGGGGTTTTTTTCTTTTTATTTTCTCTTTAAAGTGACTTTTTCACTGTTACTAAAAAAGCTGTTTTATGTGCAAACACTGTAACTGTACTTCTGTGAAGTTTTAGCAGGTAAGGTGAAATCCTGTAGACTGACTAGGTTGGCAGTTGAATTAGCTGTGTTTTTAACCTACAAAATTGAGGGAAGATTCCTATAGTGAGGGGTGATGACGTACTGGGATGTAGGTTGTTCTTTGTGGCATGTTTGGGTGTGTAACTGAACCCCAAGTCCCTTTTTCCCCTTTCAAGAAAAACACTGATTTCCAGAAAGTTATGAGCTGATGCTGCTTCAGTGTTTCTTAATTTAACTTGTTTTGTTTCAGTGTCTAATATGCATCTCTCTTTCTATTTTTTTTAAGTAAACCAGAGAAGTGTAAAGATCTGTTGTGGGGTTAAACACTCACAATGGTTGCAACTAGCAGTTTAAGCAGTAAAAACTCTACATGCATTTCAGAATTGATACACCAAGGTTTTCACCATTCAAACATAACTGGTAAGTATGTTAGACCGTCTCAGTAATTCTCACTTTTGCTCTGTAAAAAGCAAAGTAGTAAAAAGGGGTCTATGTTATCCCATGCAGCATTACAACATTTCATTATGTACTGGAGTAAGGGGTGGCTATCAATGGGGTAACCAAGCAGAGATGGTGTTTATGAAGCAAATGTTGTTGAATTTCATCTGATTAATAGTGAAGCGTTGCTAAAATGACCTGGGTATACCTGATAATCTTATAAAGATAGTATTAATATTATTTTCAGAATGAATCTGTCAGACTTCATTAACTATTTGTTAAAAATTTATATTGCTTAGCCCACCTCCCTAATAGGTATTTTATAAATGGATTTGGAGACTGGTTTAACTGTTTCACTGAATAAACCTGCTATAAATGCACTTGCAATATACTTTGCAGATATCATCAGCTTACTTAAATGAACAACTTTTTATGCATGTACTAAGCAATCTGTCTGTAGTGTGGCAGGCTGCCAAGAGCAGTGATCAGATTAGAAAGCAGATGACCAAGTGCAGAGCTATCATTTTTCCTTTAAGCAAACTAACTTCATGTTTTCTGGGGGCTAAACTTTCTATCTTTTTGCAAAGATAAAGGCTAGTAATGGTTATAAAGTCTCCTTTTCAATGGGGAATGACTTCATTAAGCTCACAGTAATAACCAGTTTAATCAAGAGAAAAATAACTCAATAAACTGTAGTTGTGAAATTAATTCAGCTGAGCACAGATGACTGCTGGCAGTACACATAAATTATACGTAACTCTAACTCTCATTAGCAGTGCTACTGTACTGTGGCTCCTTAATGTTCTGGCTTGATGATTAACCACTATTTAATGAGTCGGGAAAATAACTGGTTGGTGCATTTTCTGCCTCTTGTGAGGCACTAGTGTATTTTATTTTCCTCCTCATGTCTCTCTTTCTTTCTTTCTTTCTTTCTTTCTTTCTTTCTCTTTCTCTCTCCAATTTTAATTTCCCTGCAGACTTTGACTACTGGGATTATGTTGTGCCTGAACCCAATCTTAATGAGGTGGTGTTTGAGGAGAGAACTTGTCAAACTTTAGTTAAAATGCTGGAGAACTGTCTGTCCAGTTCAAAGCAAACAAAACTTCACTGCTCAAAAGTTCTGGTCCCAGAGAAACTAACCAAGAGAATAGCTCAAGATGTACTGCGGCTTTCTTCTACTGAGCCCTGTGGTCTGAGAGGGTGCGTTATCTATGTCAACTTAGAAATTGGAAACCTGTGTAAAAAGCTGGATCAGATTGTCTATGACCCAAGTATTGTTCCTACTTTTGAACTGACACTTGTGTTCAAGCAGGACTTCGGCTCATGGCCTAGTTTCAGGGACTTCTTTACTCGGGCCTGCTTTGCATCTGGCTGCAGGCGTACACTGATTCTGAGTCCTGGATTTCGGCTTATTAAGAAAAAATTGTACTCGTTGATTGGGACAGTAATTGAAGAGTGCTAGTAATACCTTCCAAGGCTTAAAGGGAGCCTGCAGCCATTACCCAGAGCTTTCCAAGAGCTGTAGCTTGCTTTACATACTCTAATTTGTGTGTGCATCTAGCAACCAGTGTGCACGGTCTATGCTGGGCAAATGTAAGCCTCTTTTAGATTGACCTAAAATATTCCTCATTCAGTTAACTGTCTGCCTTCCTAGGTTATTCTACTGTCTGCTGCAGAAAAGGGTGGAACTGGAGGGAGCAAAATGATCTACTTGAAACTTTCAGGAGTTAGTATCTAGTTCTGTGAGTCCTGAGGCTAGCCTAGTATTTATGTAGAAGCTTTAAACCCCAGAAATAACCATAAATCTATATGCTAGTATAATTACGAAAGGATTTGCCAAAAAGCACCCCAAAACAAACATGAAAAACCAGAACCCTATAACCTCTAGAGAGCTTGGTTTTTAATCTGTTTTGGATAATCAAAAATGACTCTAATGACAGCTTAGTGCATGACATTCCCTTGCTCAAACAAGAGATGGCTCTTGTCTCTCCAGTGATAAATCTGGTGTGAAAGTAAATATTTCACAATTTTATTAGGGACTATGAAACAAACACAGTTTTCTTGGTCTGAAGACTTGCACTGCAATCTCAGCAACATCATGCACTTTTTACGCTTCTAAAGTGTTGTAAAAAGCAAATTCATGGTGGGGGGAGGAGGGGAAAGGACTGTTTAATTGCTAGTTTAAACCTGAGGGGGGTGGGACTTTGGCTTTTCATGCAATACAGGCAGTGAAGAGATCTAAATGCAAGATTTACCTCTGAAGCAGCAATGGTAAATCATTGTCTTTTTTTACACCCTTGCCTACCTCCTCCAATATCGAACATGGGTTGCTTTTAGCAGTCAGGGGTTTCCCCTCTCTCAGTGGGCAGAAAGCTAGAACTTCTGTCACATCTCTTCTGTCTAGGTGGAACCGAGGAACAACTCAGTTTGGTTCCCCCTCTTCATGGTTTGCTGGTTCCTTTTCCAAATACGGCTGACTTGTCTATTCTGGCTTGTCAGTTCAAGTTCTGCGTGGGGGATGCTCTTTTGTGCCTCCATCCTAAACACCAAGTCGGTGGCCTTTTTCTCTTCCTGAAATGTTCAGGCAGTAGATTCTCTTTCCAGGAACTGACCTCTTCACTCTCCAAAGATGGTATAGCTAGTGTTGAAGCTCTGCTTTGCCTCTCCATCCTTGTTCACAAATATGCCTCTTCCCTGTGAAACCTGTACTTCAATTTTACACCCCTTTTGCTGAAAACCAGCTGGCTCACACTCAGCCAAACTGGTTAGTTACCTAATTTTCAAATCTGGACTGAGTTATCATTTTGTTCTTTTGGAGGAAAGGGAACACAAATCCTGGCTGTCACTCATAACAAAATCAACAGCTTTTTGGAACCAGACCATAAACTCAAAATAGGCAGATTATGAAATGTGGTAGGAGAAGTAAGGGAGGGAACACTGTTCCCTATTTCCTCTCAGTAGCTTATCTGGGTCTGTACCACTCTTCTGAGGGTTAATACTGGAGTGCTACAATGTTTTGGTTGATGGCATCCAGTTTTCATGGATGATGACTTCATAACAGATGATAGGAACTGCCTTGTCATGTACATGGAAACACTTCGGATCCTAGCAACCATTTGTTTGCAGACTCTTATCTTGCAAGTATTTGAGCTACATCAGCATGCATGAGACAGTTATGGCACAATTTGACACTCCAAGTGTGTGGGTAAATGAGGGGGGAATGTGTTGTGGTGTTCTTCACTAAATCACATGCTATAGGTGTACAATATACTTGGCTTTGGATTACAGAATTGCACGATTTTTAATGTTTGTAAGCTACCACATTTTGGCAATTAAGCTTCTTGACTTTTCAGAAGTGGACCATTATAAACTGACTTCTTTTGCACTTGTACTGTTTTTAATGTTTTAATGTCAAACAATGCCTTAGTGTGGTGTCATTCTTGTATTTGTGGGATTTCTTCACACTGCTGTACAATGTTGGTCCCATTCCCCTTGTCTTGCCTTTTTAGTTTCAATATGGCAGTTACTTGCTGGCACTGTCCTTAAACCTAACTTCTGTGAGAAATGTGTTTTGTCTATTTGACAATAAAGATTTATATTTTTAATTTTCAAATTCTAAGTAGTCTGTGAAACTCCTTTCCTATTTCTTCTGCTGGTAGGGCCTGTAAAGGTACTGATGTAAAAATACCTTCCTCTGCTCTCGGTGACACTTCTCATAGCACACGCTTTCTAACCTGAAGGATTCTGCTTGCGTTTGCTGACCAACATGGAGAACAAGGTTGGTTTTTAAACTGTACAAATTACTCTAAATGGTTCAAATAATGAAATAGGGAGGTTCTGCCACTTCATTTATGTTAAACACTATTGAATTATAAAGGAGCTGTTGTTGCTCATATAATTATTCAATGCAAATAACAGTAGGCAGAGAAACCTACCTCCTTGTCAGGTGAATGCATTTGCTGCCATCAACAAAGTTTCTACTTACATGCTTGTCATTTTGAGAGAACCAGTTTTTCAGAAACTACTTGGATTTGGCACTCTGTGGGAAATCTTGGTGACCAGGATTCTAATAAATAAGAAAGCACCGTTTGATTTCTATATGGTGTAAATTCATTAGTATGTGGGGAGTTCAATGAGTGTTTTGAAGGAAAGCTGTTAACTCAGCTGCTTAAAGACTCCTAATACTAAAAGTTGCACTGTGTGTGTGTGTGTGTGTGTGTGAGAGAGAAGCAATAGCCACCAAAATGATCAAACGGAAAATTACAAAAAGTGACTGACATTTTTTAAAAGAACAATATAGAAGGGCATTAACACATTCTTTTTATAGCAGAATAGATTTAAAATTAGACTATTTTTTCAGCTGGTTATCTTTTAACAAAAATGGCTAAATCTATATTCTCACTGGTCCTAGCTTGACTTTATTTCCCAACCCTCAAAGAGGTAGTGAAAGTACCATTATACATGTGGGTTTTGAAGTAAGGAGAATATCCTTTCAGAAAAGGAGAGCCTTATAGTTGTGAGGATGACAAAATGGCATGTAGAGAAGGTAGTACTAACATTTGCCTTTAAATCAACTTGCCTATCCCTGCTCCCAGTACAGAAAACGGCAATTAACTGCTCTTCCTCTATGAGTTATTCTTTAAATGCTAGCTTAATATATCATGTATAGCCCAGTTTTAAAAGATCTCTATCTCTTACTAGGCAGTCTAGTAGGGCTCCGTGAAATAGTACTGTTCTGTTTTCATGGAACAGTATTTAGGTTTGGTTTTGTTTCACTTCATTTTGAAACCACTGTTCTTTTTTTGTTTGGTTGGTTTTTTTTGTTTTGTGGGGTGGTTGTTGTTGTGGTTGTTGTTGTTGTTGTTTTTTGTTTTGTTGAAACTCGTGCTTCCCCATTATAGCCTTTGGGCAAAATGTGGAAACAAATTGCCTATAACTTTGTCACTTGTTTCCTGATTCCAATTAAATTTGCAGGGCTGATAGCTCCTTCTGAGGCTATGATATTTGCAACATTTCAAGGGGATAGGTATAGGGTTTTCTGGGAAACTGTACCTCAGGCTGCTGACAAACAAAAATCATGACATGGGTGACTGTGCACATGTGCATGCCCTCACTGGTGCTGGGTCCTCTACATGAAACAGTAGTGTGCCCCCATGAGGCCTCTTCCTCTATAGCCTCAGCCTAGTCTACCACTTTTTAAATGACAACAGGTAAAATAACAACTTTGGTGAGCAGCACCACAGTAGTATCAGCAGCATCTCAGGCAGCCAAACTATGACACAGACTTTCTTTCTTCTCCAGCAGCTGCCAGAGAACTCCTCCCTGCCAGCCCCAGCCCTGGGGCTTAGGTGTGCCCAGGGCCCTGCATCCTTCCTGTCATGTGTTAGGGGTGTTGGTCTAAGGACATGGTCCTTTGGGTCAATCTAATCTGATATCTTTTAATAGATCACCTGAATAGTTACATAAATACATCTTAGTGAGCTTTTGTGTTGAAAAACCTTTTGTCAAGCAGAAGCACCTGCAAGCGGGGTGGGGGGTGGAAGGAATAGTAAAGAAGCCAGTCAATGGAAATGGAGGCATCAGGGGGTGAGGGGTAGGCTTGGATGGAGGGGAGGGGAAGGGGGATGTAGCAGTGCAGGTAAAAGTGGAGAAGTACCTGGGAAGTCAGATGTCTGGCAGATTCTAGTGTGTCATAAATCCATTCTGCCTCCCTGACTCTTCACCAGCACCTCTGCCCACTGATTCAGGCTTTGGCTGCTGCATATGCTGCCCTTCACCCTTGGGTCACACATGGCAGCCAGCACATGGACTGTACTGCACTGCAAGGGATCAACCTGTTTCCTGATGCCTCCTTCAGCTGCCTCACCGGTGCCTGTACATCTGGTGACAGTGGCTTCCCAATACCCAGGAACATTGATCCCCTGGAAGCTCTCCATTTGGCTCCAAAGTTTCCTCAATCCCAGGGATCACCTGGCTAAGGAGGGTGTTGCCAAAGCTGAGGGTCTTGGTGGCCTCAGAAGGGCTTGAGGACCACCAAGATCTGGGAGATGGTATCCTACTCAGCTCTGTTAAGAGGGCCACTGATCCCAATCTCCCCAAGTAAGACCATCTCGTGGATGGCCTTCTGTTGCTCCACCAGCCTCTCGAGGATCAGGTATGTGGAGTTGCACTGAGTCTCCACATCCTGCATGATTTTGTGCTGTGGTGTGGGATATTCAGCTCTTCTTGTTTGTCCCACAGCATCTTGCCCCCCTTGCTGCTCTGGTGAAAGTAGTCTGCCATCTTTCTGCATTTGGAAATGAGCTTGCTGGTGGTGCTGATGTAGTCACCAGCAGCCCTGTCCCTCTCCAAGGCATCCCTGCCTATGAGGTAGAACTTGTGTGACACATAGCAGATGCCAGCAAAGTTGGCCTTGACCATATTGGCCCCATTGTTGGTGACCATGAACCTGTGGGTAAGCTCACCCTGCTCAATGAGCCACCCCTGCACCAAATGGTTCATGGCCCCCATGACCTTTGTTGCTGCATGGGACTTCTCCATCACCTCTGCTTGAAGGAGAGCCCACTGATGGCTTGACTGGTTGCACCAGTGCCGTGTAAGGGAGAGGTAGGCATGATCTCCATCCCAACTGCTCCAGATGTCCAAGGTGAAGTGTAAGGCCACCTGCAGACCTGCCTTGCACAGCTTCTCACTCAAGTACTCCCTGCATGCCTCATACAGGGAGGGTATTGCTGTCCTACTGAAAGTGGTGCATGCAGGCACTTGATATGATGGGGACACGAGTGCCATGAGCTGCCTAAACCCTGACCGCGCAACTAAGGAGAAGGGCTAGCCATCCACAGCAAGCATCTCAATGCTCTGGGTGGTCTCACTCACCCTTGCAACACCCCCCCCCCCTGCTTTCTGTCTGCCTTTCCCCAATGTTTCAGGGTGGCCTGCCTCTGCTTTGGGGGGATGGAGGCTTTGGAGTGAGAGGAGAACTTCCCTTTGGGCATGCTCCCACTGGTGCCAGGCTGAGGAAGAGCAAAGGGGTGGTGCCTGTGGAGATGCAATCAGCATCCCTGTAGTGCTTGTATGTTTTGTTCCCTTGCCCCAGCTGGTTCTGGCTCAGCAGTGCAGGCAGATAGCATATGTGGGATCATCTGCCAGCTCAAAATGATCCCAGACCACACTACCCACTTGCTTCTCGGGTGTGGGTGCATGTGTGGATGCTGCAATTTCCCCCTCCTCAGCAGGTAGAGGTACAGCAACAGGAGGAGTGGATTCAGCTGAGCTGCTTGCCTCCGCACCCTCTACCTCAGCCTCCTCCAAAGCACCTTCTGGGGAAGGAGACCTGGCTCTAGGGGAAAATTTGAGGGGTATGGAGCACAAACTCAGCTCATTTTACCTCCTTCCCCAGAATTTCCCTTGCTAGGGCACTCAAATCCAGCTCCAGATCTAGCTCTTCCTCTGACACTGGAAGGCTCAGCATGGAAAGTGAAATGGGGGTGGAGGAGACTGTCATGCTGGTGCTGCTGTTTGTGGTCATGGGGTGGGGTATGGCTGGTGCTCTTGGAAGGGATGCAGTCTCAGGCGTAGGCAGTGGCGCCAGCACTGCTCCCCTCTCCTTGCTGCTTCTGGAAGCTTCATCTCTGCTAGTTGTTGGAAAGAAGTTGTCTCAGTTTGGGGCAGAGGGGCTTACATTTCTCCCTCTACCCCCTCTTCTACTTCTCCCTGAAGGCTTGCCAGCTGCCTTTCCACCACACGTCATGG